CGCCTGCAGCAAAGCAGTGTGCTCCTCCGCGTAGCCCAGCATCGCCGAAGGGCCCAAAGTCATGACCTCCGGCTTTGGGGACGACTGGGGCGCTGCCCTGGTCGAATTTGGAACCCACCAGGGGGCCCTTTAAAGGAAAGTGGTCTTCCGGGACCCTATGAGGTTCCCGGTTGTGATGCGAGGGTGTGGAGGGTCTATAAAAAGTATGCCAATCCTGGTGTCATTTTGGGGGAGCTAGAGACATAGCTACTGGCACGGTCCCAAATGCCGTCCACTACCCCCGCTGCCGGTCCCCCCGCCAAACCGAGCAGCGTGGTTCGCGCGAGCGTGAGGAGCTCCACATATTAAAGGGTACAAGCGAGCGGGATGTCCACCCATGGGGGATACCAGCGAGATTGTTTTGACAACCGTTGCCTTTGGTGGAACAAGCCTTCCTAGACTGTGATCAGCAACCCTTCATCAGCTCACCCTTAAGTGGCCTGACTTAGGTTGGGAGTTGGCAACGACCCCTACGAAACAACCAGAGTGAAATCACAAAACCGCCATTCTGACTCCAGTGGTTCCTTTCCACTGACTCCCTTTTCAGCCGCTCAAAGGGAGACACATGGGACTTGAATGGACTTGATTGGTTCCAAATCAAACACATCGCAAAACCGAATGATCGAATGGCAGCCCCCCCTTCGCCACCAAAATGTAAAGAAGCGACAAAGATTATATCAACTCATCAAAATCTCGCACATGGCTAAACAACTAGAACGTTTGGGGGCGTCTGGCTGCTTGCTGGCTGTCCAGACTCCCCGCGTATTTTTTGAGAGCTCTAAATAAACCTCGTTGAGGGGAAAGAACGATTCAAGTGCCTAACTTGACGGGACAAACCATTCTTGACCACCTCGTAGCTTCAGCATAGGAAGGGTTTGGCAAACAATACTGCACACAACGTGTAAATGCTCACTCTGGATTGATCCGGTGGACTGCACTAATCACGAGCTTTTCCAAAATGGGTCACGTAATGATTTCGCTTGAGGGCAAAAAACAAATGACTATGAATTCAACTCACTCACTCCAGGTCAGCTTTTGCAAACGCAACTAAACATGGCATGTTGAAGCACTGGTCCAGAATGTCAACCTCGGATTAATCCGGAGGATTCTGCTCGATATAGTACCCCCAAACTAGATATTGTCCGCACTGAAAGGCGAACCGCCCCTTTTTATGTCCGCCCCGGATTAATCCAAAGCCAGAATTATTGAATGAACCATATGTGACCGCTGGAACGATCTCAATCCCGGCACTTCCACTTTTACCTGGCCCTGGCACGCCCGAGTTTCCGCGGCTGCGCGCCTCTTGGCTTTCGGCTTTCGGGCGCAAGAACCCGAGACCCGAGCGCTTGCGACGCCCTCCACATCCAGTGGTTGCCGTGTTATGCGTTGCTCGGAAACCAGCTGCTTGGCCCTCCATTCCAGGTTTTGGTTGACCTCCCCCCCCCAAAACAAAACAAAAACAAAAAAACACGGCCGCGCCGCGGCTCCGAAGCTTTCGAGAGCTCGAACTTTTATGAGGGAACAAGAGCAATTGAAAACAAGACTTCCATTTGCTTGTTCCGCCCCCCGGAAAAAGGACTTCCAGTAGTTCTAGTTTAACACCAACAAGGGAAAATATAAACATGTCTTTAAACCAAGTGGAAACAAGATGCATGCGCATGAAAGGGACCATTCATCATGGGGCCTGAGGCTGCAATTCAAAGCCTTCATGCGGTAGCTGTAGTTGCCCGGCACGGGTTTCCGGATGACCAAAGATTTAGCGCATGTCCGACAGCCTTTGCCAAAGGGCACAAAGGCCTCAGCCGGTCTTCGGCCGAGAGCGTGGACTGGGCCAATTGCTGCCACTTCTGTGTGCAAAAAGGCAAGGAACTCAAGGATTCTCCGACTCAACCATCCACCTACCCACCTACCCACCCAACCAAGGAAACGGGAATGGCCCCTTTTTTTGTTCATGGCGAGGATTCCTTGGTTCATGCAGTCTTTGAATGTCTATGGTGCAAATAGCAGTCCCTCGGACTGGTCTCTGGGTTAAAACTAACTTCAAAAGGGAACTCAGAACCAACAAAAAAACATGGATCGAACAAAAACAAGGGGGGGCGACGAGGTGCCTCCTTCTGCCCCCGCCTAGCCTACCGCCCCCCCCCCCCCCCCCCCCCAGCTGCGGTCGCGCATTTTTTCAGACTTCGACGCAAACGCCGACCTCGGATCGTCATAGCTGCCATGGGCCCGCCAATGCTGGGATCGCCCCAGAGGGGGGGGGGGGGGGGGGCGAAGTTGACCCTATTCTGCCCTGAGGTCCTAGTAACATTGGAGGCTTTACAGCACTGACCGGATATCTTCAAACCTATCACTGAGATAACTGGAGATACCCCAAAGTGACTATCCCACAAACATAATCTCCCAAATTTAATAAAATTGGGAGGTGTCCTTTTGGCGTTCCTTTAAAACATGGAAGAATCGGGTGCCCCACAACAAGACACAACCATGAGAAGTTGTGGAGCTGCCTTTGCAGATGCTGTCGCGGTCGTTTTATCAATTGTTGGAGGGACACTTCCGCCCCAGTTTGAGACAGCCTGTGATTTCACGGCATCCTTTGGCGACTGGGAGGCAAGTCTCCGCAAGCTATTTGGGTACGTGTCATTTCTTTCACCACCAGGGGGGCACAGGTTTTTGTCCTTTCCATTTATTCGGGGTTAGCGTTTTCTTGACCCCCACCCATTTTGCTCCATTCAGGAAATCCTAGGGAAACGGAATCAGTGGGTAATGAAAGGAAGGGATCTTGCGGGTTGCTTTTCAGAGATTTGGGGGATTTGTTTCAACTAGGCAACTCAGACCAAAGCGGGTCCCAAACCCCCCAAGCCCTCAGTGTTGCTCCAGAGATTCGGTCGGCAGACCAGCACATTTGGCCCAAGGCAAAGCAAAGTATAAACCAATGGAAACTAGCGAGCTACAAGCCAAAGGAGACAAGTCAATATAATTGTAGGGCCCATATAAACCGACACAAGGCAATTACCATATTTCAGGAACAGCTCTGAGCAACACTTCAGGAATGGTTGGAACCCTCCAGCTGATTCATAGTGGACCAAAACAGAAGGCTGGCTTTGTGAGACATGATGATCCGATGGCCCAACAAAGTAGGTGGCTTGAAATACTGGGCTCATTAACCCTCCCCCAGTGCCAGGGAAAACTGTGGGATTCTGATTTGTTCAAGGAGCTTCCACCCACGGAAGCCCTGAACAACACTTCCAGCTTGCATCCGCCACTTTTTTCTCTCTCTCGGTACACCTCCACAAGTGCGACCGCGGACGCGAATTAGATGGCCACCCGCTCCAAAACGAGCGAGTCGGTTGTCTTGCGAGACTGCTCCAAAAGTTAAGGCAGACCAAACTCGGTGTGTCACAGGCCCCTGTGCAAAAGACTGAGGCCTGTTTGGCCGGATTCTGAACCGCTCATGGTCTCAAGTACAGCTCATTTTCCCATGGCCTCACCAAACATGCATCCAAGCCAAGGTTCCGTAAATATCTGGGCTGCATACGGCAGAGGGCGATCTCAAAGTCCGTCCGCTGCTTTGCATCGGGCTTCACGCTCGAATTCGCGTGCCGGGTTCCCGGCATGCCTCGAGGGGTTCGAGATCGCTTTCAAGCGATCGATTTCGAGCGCTGGGTAAAACCGCGTGCGTGAGCCTCTTCCGTGGCCAGGCCGGAAATGATGTCCACCAAAATGTCCCAAGGCTTCAGCCAAAGAACTCTCATGGTCATAGTGCCCGTTTCGGCTCGTGCGACAATTGCTTCTGCACAGTTACCCGTACTCCAAAACCTAAAAAACTTGAACCAGCTATCCCCAAGTAACGCAGCTACATCATAGGCTTTCGCTTGTTCTACCTCGAGAACGCTGGAACTGCTCGCCCAGCAAGCACGGAAGAGACGGTGCCCAGCGCACTGGGCGACTGAGCCGTTGAATCACTGACTCTCATTTGCCCAAACGGCCTGACAAGAGGTTGGTGTACAAATATGTGTATATGTGCATATACTGTGCGTTGTTTGAGGGTACTTGCGGTGGCTCCAAAGGGCAACCGAGAAAAAAAGAGCGCCATTTGGGGTGGGGGCGGGGGTCCCTTGTGTCGACACACACCCATGTGATCATGATGTATTGTAGGCAGTGGCAAGTATACCATCACCGTTGACGGCATGAAAACGACAAGGCTCACCTCGTGGGACCAGCAGAACAGCGAGAGCCAAACAAATACACACACATGATTCTCCTGAGCTTGGTTTTAATTTGAAGCATCCCACATCCCATTCCAATTACTTAGGCCCTTGTAGGCACTGAGGAACCGAACAGCTGGCCGATCTTTGGGAAAGTGAGGACTTCAAAACTGCGACAAGGCTGAGTAGCCTGCCATTGGGCCAAGAACTAGCTTGCTTCTCCAAGAAGCCAGCTCGGGCACGTTCCTTTGGAAAGGCCCTGCCAGCATTGTCCTTGCTGCAAGTTACACTGGCATTTGTGCCTTGCCTTGGGAGGCTCGATTCTTTGGGCTACCCTCTCAACCAAACTCACAGAAAGGACACTGCTGGCCCCTACCTTAGGATGTCAAAAAGTGCTCAGGGCCCTTCTGGAGAGGGCTGTGCACATCCGGCAGTCGAACAGGCAGTCGAACAGCTGCGAAAAAAAATGAAAAGCATCGAACGCGCCATGGTCGAAACTCTGACAGCGACTTCCAGCAAGTTCCATCTCAGACCAAGAAGAAGCCACCTGGCAACCATTGTCGCCAGCTAAATGTTGGACACTGAGCATGGAAGCTGAGCACTGACCATGGCACATGGCTGTGGCTCAAAATCGAACTGTAGGAGTTACGCGGGTGTTGGTCCATGTGTCCACTTGCCAGGGCAACCCATTTTGGTGCCGTTTTTTTTTGAGCCACAGCCACATAGGTCTCACTCCCTCGGCCCTTTTGGCTATCCTCACGCGGCCAGCAGCTGGCGAGCCTCCCCAAACTCCTCCTGGGCCTGGGCATTTTTTCCGGCGATGCAAAAAACCAACGCTCAAAACCCATTTGGCCCGGGGCAGATCTGAGAGGTCTTCCTTGATTTGAGGTCTTCGAGAGGCTTTTGGGGGGTGGACCCCCCTTTTGTCCGCACACTCAGGGCGGGCCCACTCCAGCTGTGCTTCCATGCCATGGTCCACCCCCCTTCAAACCATCATTCAGAGGGTTGATTCGCAGAAGGCTTCTTGCTTTCATCCACCTGGAGGAATCAGGTGGAGCACCTCAAGAAGGATCTGATAAAAGGCTCTGGTGATCTGTGGTCAGTCTGGCTTACAACCCGCCCCTGTTTGGAAGGGAATCCCCGCAAGAGAATCCCAGCTTGTTCTACAAAGCAAACTACATCCCCCTCAATTCAAGTAGAAGGATCCACCTCTAAAACTGCCAATTTGTGCTTGGCACTGCTCACTTGGCCATGAATTTCGATAGGGGACCGCCTCCAAAGAGCTTGGTGGGCATGAATCCTTACGTAAGTCATGTCCACCAAACGGTCTCTAATTATAAAAAGAAGGCAACCTTGAATTGGTGTTTTGAGGGGCTTGGGGAGTTTAGCCAGCCTAGCCCTTGATTAAACTAAAGGGAAAGCATACCCAAACCTCCAAAGAAAGACTTCTGGAGATATTAAACAATTGCATGCTTACCCTCGCGCCCACATGGAATCCGACTGGACAACCACAAACTGGAAATAGGGAATTCCGCAAGCAGTAAGGGGCATTCATCACAGATGATCTCGATGCGGGCTAGATAAGCGGTGCATGCTGCATGAGGATATGCATTGGGGGCACCGCAGCGATACCTGCGGATTGACCGGAGAACCATAAGAAACGAATTTAGCAAGCCACTACCAGCAGAATGAAATTATCCCCCTTTGAACGGGGAACCACCCTGACTAGTATGGTACCCCGGAGATATCCAACCTGAGCATCATTCCCACAACAAAAGGGTGCACTTCGCAAAGGGTGCCCTTTAAACGTTGCCATATGCCCATTGTCAGGCTAGGGCTGCAAAGGCAGCCATTGACAAAGGTCACGCTAGAAGAAAGGCAGTTTAGGTGAACGGCACGCCGGCAACCCTACCCACTGTCGACTTAACCTCCTGACATGAGTCTTCCGAATCTCGCAATGACATAGGCAGGCTCCCCCCCCCTCCCACCATACCCCAAAACTAAGAACGAGGGGGAAGGGGGTAGGGGGTCCCCAATTCCACTTGTCTAGTCTTCCTCAAAGGGAAAATGAGTTACCATAAATGGAGATCTCCACTGGTCGAAACCCCCCCTCCCCTTTTAAGGGGGCGGGGATAGGGAAACCTCCAGTTTCCTCGTTTGCTCATTGCTTTGTGGCAGAATAGGTGGACCACTGCTCCTTTGCCAAAACCGGCCAGATACCCCAAGACTAAGAACCCCGGAGAAGTTCCGACAGAAGGGCTCTGAGAGCTTGGCCCCAACCTACCTTCAGATTCTGGCCCATGTGCAGCGAAGAACAAATTGTGTTTTGTTTAGAGAAGCAAAACCTGGAGAGGACCCCCAAATAGGTGCATCTGTTGTTGAGGGTGCCATTTTTTGGTGGGTTTTAAAGGGAAACAATGAAAACAAATACATTTGTGGGAATCCACTATTTTAAGACGAACCCATATTATTCCAGCTTGCTTGTTTCAGGAGTCCCCCCCCCCCCGCCCCCCCTCCCCCCCAAAAAGAAAAAAGGCAACATGTTGGGAGCTCCCTGAAGAGAAAACAAATATGTTCAAAACAAAAACAGAAACAACGACGTGCCCAAATAAGGTTGCTCCCCCCATAACCAAACCGCCCCCGTTTCCTGCCTGAAAGCTGGCGCTGGCGGAAGTTCGCCAGCGATTGAGGCGCACGGCTGCCAGGCCGAGCAGGGCAACCAGGCATGCCGCCTCGGTCCCAAGGCCCGGTTTTCGGGTAGAGGCGGGGCGTTTCCCATGGGATTTGGTTTGGGCTCCCGAGTTTTGAGAAACACCCGGTGGCCTGAAGGTTACAGGGGGTGGCTTCCCATTTACCCTCTACAAGAAGGGGCTCAAATCCAAATCCAAGCCAGTCAATTACCACGAATTAGGCATAGGGATCCGAGTTCAGCCGCTTGCTGGCCAATCTTGATTTCCCCCTTTCACATCACCCTGCCAAATGGAAACTCACGTAACTTTGGCCCGAAAGCGAAGTTAGAAACAACCACAAGGAGCGGGAACCTTAAGGGCAAGCCTCTTTGGACCCTTGCGGTGACCGGTAGAATCCTCAAACGGTGACTTCTGGGGTTCCGTTTCCGTTTTCAGCTTCCTAGCCGAGCGGCCAGCCCGGCCAAGCCCAAGGAGGGCGCGCCACCTTTGCGTCACACGTTTCGCGGAATGGGGCAGCCTCCCAAATGCCCACCGTCCGTTTTACTAACGAGACAACCAGCACACGCATTTTGTTAGCTCATTGCCATGAGGCTTGTCTGATCTTTCCTTCCTTTCAATGGGTTCACTCAGGCCCCTGGAAGACTGAAGTAGGTGGGATACTGAAATACGTGTGCCTCTCATTTGATGGGGTGATGGGAAACTGGCTTTCCTATGCGCTTCAAAGGCAAGCCAAATGGCAACAGACTCTCATTTGGGCGTGGGTCAAAATTAAACCACTAGGGGACCGCAGGTTTTAGTCCATGTTTAGGGTTCATTTTGGGTACCTATGTTTGACCCACCCCCATTTGTTCGTGCCTAAACGCCAGCCAGAAAACAGGTTTTGCGTCCACATGGGGCGTCCTGCAGGGGCTTTGGTTTCCGGGTTGTTTCCCACTGAACACAAACAAAAAAGGTGCCCGCAAATCCACGTGCACAAGCCCCCTGCCTACCCCAAACATACCCAGGTTGGGCATGGTTGGTAGCCAACACATCGAATTTGGTTGGTGCCAGCACAAATCCACCCATACACACAAATCTTACACATCTGATCCAACCATATCTGAGTTGCCCAACGGACCTGGAACTAAAAGGCTAACCTTTTGGGGCCATGACTAAATATGGACCAACATGGGAAAACCAAAAGGCCAAAAGGTCGGCTTTGAACAAATGAGTTTTATGTGCAATGTGCAGGTTGGTGACATGCGTGGCACATCCCACGAGGCATGCAACTTCCTGAACCCTAGAAGCCAACCCTCCCCCAGACCTCCTCCCCTGCAACCGCTAGAGCGTTGGGGGCGGGGGCTTCCAAGACGTTGTTTGGGCCTTGGGCCGAAGAAGGTTGGAGGGCCTTGAAAAGATTTTCGCGTGTGGTGTCCCTAGTGACCTTGATTACAATAGCTGGTTTTGCTGGGATCTGACAAAAGAGGAAAAACCGCCCCGTTTGGTTTCCTTTGGGGGGAAGAGACGCCATCTAGTCAATTTAGCGGGTTTAGGCCGCAACACGAACCCAACCTTCCGTGGCCAGCTGGGACTTCCAGCTCCCACACCCCAAAACTCCCATCGGACTAGCCGCCGTGGCCGAAGAGGGCTGGGAAGCGCTGCCTTGGCTTGAGCTTCGCATCACCCAACATCACCAAAAGGAAACTCACTCAACAAGCTCCTGCTGCCCCAAAGGAAAAACTCACCCCACGTGGATGTGTCCTTTTAAGGGTGTACCCACCAAAATGGTGGGTTTTCCATTTGTTCACGTTTAAAACCACAAACACGGGCATCCTCAACAACAGACACACCCACGTAAGCATTAAGCAAATCTATCCCATGGGTTCCCCTTACCCATGCTTACTAGTCCAGTACAGGAGGCACCGAAGCAGGGTTCCAAACTTGCTAATCCACTTGGCACACCGTACCAAAAGCAAACGCACCAAATGGCCATTGCTAAGAGAGTCATGTTTGCAATTGCCTCAGAGGAACTATGGGAAGGCCTCAAGTAGGGACGCATGCCAGGCCTATGTCCAAGCCCTGAAGAAACGAAGTCTCGCTGGCCCAACAGGCCTGAAGAAAGATGGCGCCTCCTTGGACCTGGTCAAAAATGAGAACCCGAAACCGAGACACCAAAAGGTGAAGCTCAAACTTTCCCGAAACAAAGCCAAATTGTGCAGCGCAACAGCAGGAAGCCAAGACAAGAGCAGTCCGAAAATTGCCCACGGTGAAACCAATGGCAGGCCGTCCAAATGACGAATCTCCAGCGGGCGGGCTCCTGGCATGCAAGCGACGCCCTCATTCCCACAACCCTGTCCTGCCGAAGCCCAAAGAAAACTGGGTACTAAATAGGGGATCTGCAAACAAAAACATTTTTGCCTTTTGGGGAAATCAACAACTCGCGATTTGGTACCCGTCAAGAATTGAAGAGGTGAAAATCTAATTGGCCGCTTCGGAGCGCCTTATTTTCTTGAGCCAAAACATGTCAGTAGTCTCAACTGTACAACTGTATATGACAACATGCGTATTGGGCTACATATTTCAACACTCCTCCTTGCTGGGGGGTGCTTGATCACCCGCACAGCAACTATACAGTGCGGTAGCCGGAGCCTGGACCAGGGCCTTACGAATCTAGAAGACTCATCTGGCCTTTACTCTTGCTTTGAAGAAACACAAATCCGGAACGGTTCATTGTGTCCTTCATTTGGACTCCGGGTACTGACTTTGTCAGCACATCTGACCTGTTCCGCTTGCCTGGTATGTGTTCTACCTTTAAATGATTCATCGCCACACGTTCCTGTAACCACAGATAACGAGTTTGAATGTGGCGTGCCTTTCCCAGGCCTACTCTATTAACCGTGCCTTTGGCTGCAACTCGGACTCTACTAGAAACTCTACCTCAACTCCAAAGTCTTGAAGGAGGGATTGAAGTCAGCCCTACAGAACCGCCTTTCACTAAAGCGTAGTACTCACTCTCTCCAGTGCTCAACGCTATCGTCGACTGGACGTTGCTTGAGTGCTTCAGTGTATGGCTACCATAGAGGGCAACCATGCCTGTAGTGCTTCGCCTAGTGACAGCGTCTCCTGCATGGTCAGAATCAACCTGTATACGGACCTTCGAGGGTTTGGCTTGTCTCCCAAACACTTGACAAAGATCAGGATACTTCAGCAAATATCTGCACAGTCTCTTCAGGTCTTGCATTGCCGCCTCGGTCGGGGTGACCATCTTCCTTGAAAGATTCTTCACAGCGTGCGAAAGATCAGGACGATCTTGACTGAGGTACGCTGCTCGCATCACACTCGACCTATAAAGTGAAGCTGCTTCTCGTGCCAACGGAGGGCTGTTAGCCTCCAAAAGCTGCTGCTCCGCGGACTTCTTGATGTCTGGGGTCTCAGTGCCCTTCGCGTTCACCATTCCCAGATGTCTCACCAAAAGTTCCACATGACGGCGGTCAGGTTCCAAGAAAACCGCTGATTGGCCTTCGTGATCATCTCCATCCTCGTCTCCCAGCATTCCGAGCCGTTTCAGCTCGTAGGCACTCCTTAGAGTGGAATCCAGCTCGTCCAAAGCTTCTTGATCACCAAGTGCAAGAAAGTCGTCTCCATGAACCAACACTCTGCACCCTGTGCTCGGCTTGTAAAAGCAGGAACCATTGCTGCGGCCACGCTGAAACCCATGCTTCAAAAGAAGTTGGGTGTAATGGTCTTGCCATATTGCTGGCGCGTCTTGGCAACCATACATACTGTTTTCCAACAAACCACAGAAGCCTTCTTCTGCGTCTTCTGGTGGAAGCTCCACATATATGCGTCGCTTCGGTACTCCGTAAATTTGCGCTCGACTTATGTCCCAGAGACCGAGCTTCAGTCTCCGGCCCTGGGCTGACACCCGGTCTGTTGCCCAGGCACTCAGCAGGTAGCGCATCGCCTCCAACGGTGGCGTTGACGAGAACAGGAGGTTCTGCGGCAACTGTTCCTCCGGCTTCTTAGCTGCCTTAATTTCGCGGGCAACTAATCTAGACCGGTAGTTGGGCTTTTCAGGATCTCCTTTGTTCGTGTCTAACCATCTCACCGTGATTGGACGAAGTCCCTCTGCGTAGCATTGTGCTACCGGCACCTTCCGGTAAACTCCTTGCTTCTTGAAGTAGTCCATCTCAAGAGTTCTTGCCTTCTTAACTTCTTCCGCTGGTAGAAGTCCTCCGTTCACATCATTCCAGTACTCTTCAATGTAGTCTGCTGGAACAAAAGGTTCCTCGCAGATTGGCCCTGATGTATTCGTCCGAAGGACAGCTTTGACCAGCGCAGGTGGGTACCTGGCGGCCTGTTTGGCAATTCCACCAATGAGGCGTACATGCCTGTGCCAGGGATCTTTCCCGGCCTTGTTGCTGCACTCACCTTCCAAGAGCTCAGCAAGCTCCCGGCTATTAGTGAGCCAACCGGCCTCCTTTCTCACATAGCCTGTGCCTTGAAGACCACGGCGGTCCGTCGCCATCATCTCCCATCGGCACATCGGCCCTCGGACCAAATATGTGTCCGGGCGATCCGTCAGTTCCTTGACTTCAGGATCTTTCCACGAAGTGGCATTCCAGGGCGCCTCGTGCAAGAACAGGCGTCCTGCCTTCAGCTGCTTCCTGTAGAAGCTGCATGAGTTGTGCAAATGCTCCAATGCTTTATCCATACGGATCTTACGTTGATCCGGGCTGACCCTGTACTTGTTGATGTTCTGCAAGTGGCTGAATTGATCACACGGCAAACCAGGCTTTAAACCAAACCTGCTCGCCTCCTTAGAGAATCGTGCTGGACTGTACACTTCCATGATGTGTACTGCGCTTAGCTCGCAGCTTATGTTGGCTAGAGTCTCAATTTCCACTGACGAGATCTCTACCTCCTGCTGCTCATAGACCTGCTTGATTCTCCTTTCGATCATCCTCTTCACCACCTCCTTTGCCCTGCTCAAAGACAGTCCCCCCGCGTAGTTGTTTGAGCAGGTGGCTCTCCAGTCTGATCTCTCAGATCTTCAACTGATACCTCAGGTTCTCTCTTCTCTCCTTGGGGTGGCTGGACCTTCAGCTTAGGTCCAGCGGCTATCCTGAGTTCTCCCGGTCTTTTCTGAGGCTTGACCGGTGAGGCTTTAGCCTTACTCCCTGCAGGCGTACTGCTACTGCTAGGCTCTGCAGGTGCACGTTTCAGGCTTGACCTCTCCTCTGGGTTGTCAGGGTGTGGCAAAATGCCTTCATCCCTGTGTTCCTCACTAGCTTGCACGGCCTTGTCGGCCGGCGCTCCAGCTGCGTCATCAGCTGTCACATCCCTCTCAGGGGCCTCGTTCTTCTCATCCCTTTTAGATCTCTTCTTCCTCTCGTGTTCTTCCAATCTGCTCTTGCCTTCCTCATCTTGTTGCATTAGATCTTGTTGCATTAGAGTCACAATCCTGGCCCTGCATGCTTCCGTGTGTGGCAACACGGTAGATTGGCCCAGCAAAATGCATGTGCATCCTGTGCACCCATCTGTAGGCGTGTACTTCTCGACGTCTGCCTTCCGGATGTAGATCCTCTTCTGCATAGGTGGCGCCATGACATGAACTGCCTCCATCCTTGGCTCTCCAACCAAGACAACGGCTTCTCCAGCCGCTCCGGCACGTGGCGTGCCCGGTGACCTTCGTGCAGTCACCTCCCATGGAAGCCCTCGTAGGGCATCCCAACCGTCGGCTACCCAACGGTCACAGCCCGCCAGTCTGCGGACTCCAGTACCTCTCTTGACACCATCTGCTGTGATCACCAAAAGTGATCCGGTACGACCATGGTGGCCGATGTACCGGCCTTCCTTAAGATGTCGTACTCCTTCTCCTACCTCACGGTAGTATAACTTCTCGCCTATAGCGATCGCTGGCTTTCGCCAGTTCTTACCACAACGCCTATGTTCAGGCGTGCGGCCGTCCGGTCCTTTGCGGTACCGGCACATCAGGTCTGCCGCATGTCGCGGAAGCCATGCCAGGACGGGGTCGTCCTCACGTAGAACCTTGCCGATCATCTCTTCTAAAGAAGACCTCAAGACTCTTACCTGCCTCTTGACCTCACGGACTGCATTTTCCGCAAGTCCGTTGCTCCGGTGGTCACCCACCGGGGACTCGGTCACCCACCGGGGACTCCTGTGGAACGTTCTCCACTCCAGCCTCACGGGCTGCCTGCTCCTCAAGAGCAACAATCGAATGCTCGCCATCACTCATCATAACCGCTCTCCGATAGCCTAAGTGCTTCAGAAAGTTGGCAAAGAACTTCACGGCATAGGGTGTAGGACCCTTTGCATCCACAAAAGTGGCTGCCACGGACAACGTCCGGCTGTCTTTGATCACCAAGATAGGCTTGGCTCTTCCATCTTCCTTGCCATCTGTAGTCATGAAGGTGTAGTCGCTCGCGATGATGGGTAAACCGTCATCTCTCTTACTCTCCTCATCTCGAGAGCTGTGTTGCTGACCCAGGCCTCTCCCGGCAACGCAGTGCCGGCACCAAGTCCTGTACTGAACATGGCCTGTGGACTCATGCTCGTCCACCTCCGCCCTTGTCGGGTTCGCTGGTGCGTGCACCAACGCAGGCGGTGCAATCTCCTCACTCTCCTCTTCTCTCTCAGGAACACCCTCAGGTCGGCCCTCAGGTGCTCCCATGTCCTCATCTCCTCGTCCGGCGGGCACGGCATCCTCTGCCGCTGCCATGGCTTGGGCCGGACTTACACCACTGTGGGCTGCCACCCAAAACCCTGAGTAGGTGCCTTCGCCTTCAGGTAGAAGTTGTAGACACCTTTCTCCTGGTACACCGGAATCCATGCCTTTGCATGGTGCTTGTTCTTCTCTTTCTCTGAGCTCCAAGATCTTGCCAGAAACCTTAGAGTCCTGCGGGATCAGATTCCCGCCATGCTCATCTAGCACCGCAACTCTGCCGTGCTTCAAGCATTTGTAGGCTGAGACCAAGGGTTTGTGAACCGGAGCCAACGGGCCTGTGACACTACAGCAGTGCACAAACTCTCCGGTTCCTTTGAACACACCCGTACCGGTCCCACGGACAAATTCCATAGCGGACCCATTCCATAGCCTGGAGATCCTCTCCAGCTGTAAGCGCACCCAGTTCAAACATACCCACATCGAGCTCTCCCTCGGGTTGTTCTTCTTCATGGGCTCCCTCACCTGTGTCCTCTTCTAGTGAGTTCGCTCCTTTGTGCTTACCCTTGCTCTTGCCTTTCTTTCCGCCTCCTTTTGAGCCTTTGCTTGAGCCTTTGTTTGAGCCATCCTTCTTTTTACTCCAGCACTCCGCAGCTTTATGCCCGGCTTTACCACAGTTAAAGCAAACTATGTCCTTGGAAGCTGAACCTTTTCCCCCATTGCCCTTGTCTTTACCTTTGCCCTTACTTTTGCCCTTTCCACCGGACCCCTTGCCTTTGACCAGGCTGTTGATGACCTTTGTGAGGCTGTCCACGTCCATGGGCGCCGGACCACTGTCCGATGAGGATGCTGCGCCAGGGCGTAAAATCGGTGCCTTACTTCCCAAAGAGGATTCAATCACTAGGTCAATTTCTGATTTCATCTGTGCGTAGGTTGTGAGGCGTCCTTTGTTCAACAAAAGGTGGCGTTCAATGTCTGAGGGCACAAGCAACTCCAAGCTGGTCGCCTTTATGTCTTCTGACAGGCGTTCTCGCTCACCAGCTTCATTCTTGCGATTTTCATATCGCCTGAAAAGGTCTTCGAGTTGCTCTATCGCAGTTCCCACCGTTTCACACGTTCTGGGTTCAATATCGCCCGGAGTATGTTTCTCTTCCGTCCGGCGGTTAAGGGATCCCACCGGCGGTGGATTCTTCTCCACGCTTCGAACCCATTAGAACAGCCTATCACCAAGTCTTCAGTCTCTCCATGGGTTAAGGAAGAAAGCAAACGAAACAATTGGTCCTATGTCTGGTAAACCGGACACCCCGTCCGGCTCCCCATGCGCGGCCTCGACTTCGTCCACGGCGATGTTGTCAGGCCCATCCTGATCGAGGCACCAATCCAATACTTTCTCGAACTCCTTCCCAAAGATGCTGACAACAAGGTTTGTGACTGAACGCGCCCACTTCCGGAACGTATGCTCTTCATTGTTGAATCGTTCCGGCTTACCAATCCCTTTCGTGTCAACCAACAGCTTCCTGGGTTCTTCCCTCTTTGTATTTCTGGCAAATTCTGTCATGCTTTCGGCCAGCCGGGTCAACAGGGCAGTTTGTTCCTGTTGCCTCTGTTGCTGCTCGCGCAACACTCTATTTTCCTCAAGGATCTGCTGCAGTTGCGCTTGTATGGCAGCTAATTCTGCCATCGGCCCTTGGCAGACTATACGTCTGCCTCGCTATCCTCGGCGGGTTCTTCCACCAGGACCTCGGACCCCGAAGTGTAGGTTTCCAAGTCCGTGGACTCCTGCTCAGTCGGAAAGCGGACCCCGGACCACTTATGCTGCGGAGCTCCCGGTGGCTTCTGCTTGGGCTTGAGGAACACCGGTGGGCCTTTGCTGCTTTTGGCCACTTCCTCACCCGGCTTTTCCTCGGGCTGCTCTTTGGGCTGCAGCTTGGGCTTCAGCTTGGGCTTGGGCTGCAACTTCTGCAGGCTTGCCGGATGCTGTCTTGGGCACAGGTGGCGGCTTCTTCGCCACGGGCTTGGGGTTCACTGCAAGGGCCTTTGATGCAGTGGTGACAGCAGCAGGTGCGATAGGCGTCGCGCCCTTCGCGCCCTTGCCTTGGCTCGCGATGCGCGCCGCACGCTCCAACACCCACGGGTATTGGGCGCGGTGCCTCTCGTCGCACGAGCTGCAAGCCTTTGCTAGGCTGTCACGGGCCAACACCTGGGCCCTGATCGCTGCCTCTACGGCAGCTCCGGCTGTTCCCTGAGCCGGTGATTTACGCTCAGCGATTTCCTGAGCGATTGCCGCGTTCCTCAGGCGGTAGTTGCTGGCCAGTGCAGACTCCGGGGTGGCTTTGCCTGCACGCACTCTGCGCAGTGCTGCCTCTTGCGTGGCTAGCGCCACACGTATCACGCGGCCTGCAGACTTCGCCGCGGCTGCCACCTCCGGCAGCAATGCAATTGGCTCAGTGCCTGGTGCTGCTGCTTCCTCAGCTGCTGCGGCTGCTTTGGCAGTGGGCTCCTCCTCTTCCTCCGAGGTGCTTCCACTGGTCGGCCTTCTCTTACGGCGGGTCAACTCCCGCTTTGGCCTTTGCCTTGGACCACCACCTGGAGGGGTCTTTGGCTGCACGTTCCTGCCAAAGCCTTTGGGGATGGGCACCTCGTAGCCGTACTCTTCCTCGAACTTATCGAGGGCTTCCTGGACTGCAGGCGGGATCGGGTTGTTGCGCTTCAAGTTCAACTTGATCAAGCCCCGCAGGAACCGGTAGGACCTCGCCTCCTTGGACCGGCGTCCGTCCTTCCACTTACCGGCTGAGTTCTCCATCACGCGGGACCAGGGCGCCTTGCTCTTCTTCTTCTTGCCCTTCTTGCCTTTTCCCTTGCCTGCTTTCTCGGGCTTCTCCTCAGCTGCTGCAGGGGCCTCCTCTTCTGATTCTGCTTGGGCCTCCTCTTCCTCTGCTGCTGCTTCTGCTGCTGGTGCTGGCGCTGTGCTGCTGGCAGCCTCCGGATGCGATGAGGACGGGGCTGCCAGGGCGATCAAGGGAGATCGCCAGTTGCCCCAGGCGTCCGAGTCCGACGCTGAAGCTTCTGTGGATCTATTGACGATCCACCCTTTGCGCGGCGGCTTCTTCGGCTCTGGGGGCTTATCCTCTCTCTTCTTTCTCTTCTTTGGTGGCTCCTCTGGCTCTTCCAGCAGCTTAGCTAAGATCCTCTCTGTCTCAGCTGCCTGCTGGGCAACGCTCTCCTCGTTGGGGGACCAGTCCGGTCCCGAAGCCAACTCTTCTGGCTCCTCCTCAGCTCCTCCGAGCTGTGGCTTTTCCACCGGCAGATCAGCTGCCGGCTCAGACCCGGTCTCCTCCACCGGGGCCTCTTCGGGCAGCTCCTCGGTCTCTGGCACGACCGAAGCGCCCTCCTCGCCTGGCGGCTCTACCGCCGCCGGGCTCCTGCCGCGTCCGCGGCCTCCCCGCCTCCAAGGCGGTACTGATCCACGCCCTCTGCTGGCGTAGTACCAAATTGAGCGATTAGGTCCCTCTGAACCTTTACTGCTCCCCGCTACCATGAAAATCTAATTGGCCGCTTCGGAGCGCCTTATTTTCTTGAGCCAAAACATGTCAGTAGTCTCAACTGTACAACTGTATATGACAACATGCGTATTGGGCTACATATTTCAACAAGAGGAAACAGAAAGAAAACCAAAACCCGCTAAAAGCCGAACACAAAACTGCAATGTGTGGCTCGAGTCAAGACCAAGAGTGGCCCTTATAGACGGCCGACCATCGAAAGGAAGCCCAGAAGAGAACGAAAAGGACAACCAACAAAAAACTTAAACAAACCAACAACAAACAAACAGACAGACAGACAATCGAACAAACAATCAAGCAAACAAGCAAGCAAAAAGAAAGGGAAGCAACCCAGTGGAGGCTTGAGGCTGCTTGCCGTTGCCAGAGGACCTCAACAGCGACCCAAGAGCCACTGTTTTAGGGTTTGATCCCACTTTTTAGCAAGGAACCCACCAAAATCTTTACGGGATCAAACGAAGTACCACACTCAATAAATTCCTACTGCCCCAAGGAAAGAACTCGCCCCACATGGGTGTGCCGTTTCTTTTTTGTTGACCCACCAAAATGGTGGGTTGTCCATTTCGGTTCCGTTTAAAAACCACAAAAAAAAGAGGGTAACCTCAAAAAAGGGTCAGCCCCAAACGTGAAACCGCGATGGGCAACCCAAAGGCGGCTTGCCAGTCATACTGCAGATGCTGTCTTCCCATCACTTCCCAAACAAAAATCCATTTGCTTGCGCCCCCTGGAAAAAATGAGGAAATATTTCCAGCAGTGATAGATTCGCTTTAAAACCAACAAGGGAAAACTGATAGATTCCTTTAAGCCAACAAGGGAAAATCAACATATTCTTAAGTAAACTGAAGAAAAGAACCGACCCAAACCCCAAAGGTTTTCTCCCGTCCGAGGCGCCAAAGGGATGTGGGCGCCTGTCGGTGCTCTGGGCAGTTGGCGTCCGCCACGCCGAATTTCTGGGCGCCAAGGTCGAAGACGGCGTCCTGCGCAGCTGAGGCGAGCTGAATGCGAAGGAACCTGGTGTGTATGGGTCAACATGGGTTTAACACGGGTTTACCATGGGCTTAGATGGGTTTACAGGGGGGTTTTCCAGATAAAGCCCAGTGAATCCCAGTTGCCAGTATAGTACTCAACCATCAATTGTTCTGGTTTTTGAAGGGTAGTTCCCTTTACCTCTTTAGGAATGTCCCTCTTAAGCCAACCAAGAGTTCTGAACAAAAAGACAGCATCCTCTTTGCCGTTGCCTTTAGCGCAGCTAAGACTCATGGGCTATTTAGCGCCTGTACAACAAGGGAGCTAAAATCATCAGCCCTCGTCTAGACCACGGGGAAAACTTATTGTTTCATCAGCCCCTATTTGAACTTCCTTGGCGACCCAGGGCCTGGCCACCGAACAGCCAGCAATGGCGTTGGGCAATTACAGTAAGGGGGTCTGGATCCTTAGGCAACATCCCCCGAAACAGTCTCCTCTTTAGACAGGGCTGGCCAAAATGTTACACCTAACACCTGGCCTAAGAACCAAAGGAGGTTTGAAACACTTGCGATACTCAAGTTCAATGAGCCCTGCCTTTGAGAAGAACTCACAAGCACCAAGGAAGATGGGCAAGCATCACCTTAAGCAAGCCCTGTTTGCCCGACCAAAATGTGAAACCTAAACTCATTTCGAAATGAGGCAATGCTTTAGTCATCCCACGGAACTTGATTCAAGCACCGCGGATTTTGAGGACCCAAACACCCAAGAGAGTTTGTTTTCAAACAAAAACTAAGTAACTAACAAAACCTGGTCAGAGAACGTCTAAGCCAATCAGAAACAGCCACCCAAAATCGACACTCAGCTGCCCAAAGGACCCAAAAATACAAGGCGATCACCTTTTCAAGCCATGACTAAACATGGACCAAAACGGGGAAACGAAAACGTCAGGGTCAGATCCGGTCGATTTGCTTTGGGCAGCTGAGTCTTTTTTTTAAGACCGCCTTGTGCAGCTGAGAAAAAACGGCTGGCGCGACCGACGCGCCTTGTGCAGTAGCCAGGAGATCCCGAAGATCGTCTCCCCCGAGGCGCTGGGCGCAAAGGCGTAGCACCACAAATCCTCCCCCCTGTGGTTGAGGTACGCCTCCGGGCCCCAGGTGATGGTCTCCGACTGGCCTCGATCTCTCCCAAGATGGGCACCCCGGAGTGGGCGGTTTTTCTTGTGGGAGGCCGCGGAAGATGTGGGGAAACATCTGCGGGACAGACAGAAAATCAGGTGGTCAGGCTCTGTTTCAGATGTTTAGCCTACCCTGAAATCTAAAATCGCATCGGGGACCCCAGAAAATAGGACCCGGTCTGCGGGAGGACGAACAGTGGGTCAAAAAAGAAACGTGACTCCTGGCTAGAAATCGCCTCCTGAGATTCCATCGTGAAGGTGCTGGGCATGAATCTGAAGGGATTCTGTCATCAAACCCTACGCGTAAGGCACACACCAAGGGCATGGAACAAATGGGTCTCTGCCTCTTTGTGCGGCTGAATTGCAGCAAGTTCGCTTTGTGGCGAACCTCAAGTTGACAAAAGAGAAACAAATCCAGGGAACTAACAATGTGTTCCTTGCTTTGCCAAGCCATGAACTGGAGCTAATACATATATATATATATATAGATACATATATATATATACACATATACATAAAACTGTGTCTTTTTATACCGAAACACACACACACACACATATATATATACAGATATATCTATAGATATAATGGTGTTCAAGTGGTCCAACTCTGGGCAAAGACTTGGGGGCATGCTCAAAAACGGGCTTATCAATTCCCTTCCAGGCCATTGTTGAACCCCCCAACTGCGGAAAAAAGAAAAGCGACCGCCGCTCACGGCCCTACAGTACTTCTGCGCACCTACCAAGAAACTGTACAGCTGAAAGGTCGCATTCTTGGGAACCGGGATGCCTTCCCTGCCCTTTGATGCATCCCTTGGCGTTTTTTTGATGCCAGTGCAAACCTCAAACTCTAAAGTTATGCTAAGGCGGGACCACCCAGGAACGCACCCTTCGTAAGATACTACCCCCTGCAAAACACTGGTCCGCTACATGGTTAGTACCCTACATGCCAAGGATCTGCCCAAAAAGAACGGGGTTCTGTGGAGGTTGCCAACCACTTAGAATAGAAGCGCATTCTCTTCAAACACCAAAAAACTGCCAGAGGGACCTGATGGGATTGGCTTCAAAACGACCAACATGATCTCCCAAACCGGTGCAAAGCTTCCAATGAGGCGAGCCGCCCTGGAACTTGAAGGCGAGCGTGGGGAAGGCGCCCGGGCCCTGGCCATCATGCATCCTCCAGCACTTCTGGTGCGAATCTGGCCTGTCTGCCCGGTCTGCTTGGCCTCGCGCGCGCACGTGAGACGTCGCTCAACCTCCAGGATATACGTCCCCTGCAAAGGAAGCTCACTATATGGGTACGGGTCAAAATTAAGCTCTCAGGGGACCGCAGGTTTTAGTCCATGTGTCCATTTGCCAGGGTTCCATTTTGGGTACCTATTTTTGACCCACAGCCATATCCCCCTTGTAAGCTTAAGGGGGAGGGGGGGTGAGGGGGATGAATTTCTCGTGAAATGTGCCTTGCAGGCTCCAAAACCCACAGGAGCAAAGAAACAAAACAACACAACGCAATTATCGTGATAAACTAGCAAATGAAACTATGAAGCTTGGGGGATTTGCCTAAAGGGACCAGCTGACAATTCAAGCCACCAAAACGAAAAATCTAAAAAACCCTGTTTGTATGGCACAGGCCAGAAACCGACGAACAATGAACGCTAAGAAACAAAAAGGCTGATTTAAACAGGAACGCCTCTAAACAAAGAAGCCCAAATGGTTGATCAAAATAGAACCCTCCCCTCGCCCCCCCCCTCCCTCCAAAGCCCCCGCGAGCAAGCGGCAGTTATCGGGCAACAGGCAAAACGACTCCAGGTGCATCACCACTCTGTCGAAGATCCTCCGATTGGCGAATCCGAGCGGAAGGTGGGTGAAGCTGGGTTTTGGATGCCTGATCCATTCAAACCGTGCGCCAGAGCGCCACGACGAGGGAGGTCCGCACACTGGTCCGCTGTCCCAGCCCCTTCCTTTCTTGCGGGGATTCCCTTAAGCCTTAGTGATGCACGGTTTGCTAGCTCGTGATCGAACATGCTTTCTGACATAATATGCCAGAATCAAACAAGGCTTAGCAGAACATCAGTGAAAATCCGAGGCTATAGGCCCCTGATATCCGGGTACCCATCGCTGTCAAGTTTTCAATCTGGCCATACTTGCGGATTCCCCGAGATGGCCTTTGAGAATACACAGCTCGACAATGACACTAGCCACAAAACGGGTATGGCACTAATATCGTTTTGAGCTTCGACCCTTCCCCCCCTCCCCACATCCCCTTCCCAGTTGTTCAGCACCCTTTTCCCAAATTTCTTGCTTGATGGCTTCACAGAAATTGTCAACCCTAAAATGGTCTTCTTTTTTGCAGTCACTGAACAACGTGTTGAGCCCGGATGAACAAACGGAGAAGATGGGGGGGTGCTCCCCTAAAAAGATGAATCCTAGCGAGGGACCCCCCCCCCAAAAAAAAAAGCAACAACAACACACGCAAAAAGACAACACTTTGCTGTTGGGGGGGGGTAGTTGTGGTTGAACCAAGGCTCTGCTGAGGGAAGTAGGTCAGCGTGGTCCCGGTGTCCACGATGGCCTGCCCGAACTCCGCCGTGCCGGCCACCACCAGCAGCGAATCCACGAAGAAGGTCTCCGGCTTCACCATGTAGTAGCCTCGGATCCATTTCTTTTGTCTCTGCCCAAAGCACCTGGAACTAAAAGCTGATCACCTTTTGGGGCCATCTAAATATGGACCAACATGGGAAAGCCCAAAGGTCAAGAGGTCGATTCGCTTTGAACCACTGAGTCGTTACCCGCTGAAACTGTAGCCTCAAGTTGATCCCCGCAAAGGGAACACCTTGTTCGTCTTTCTCCCGACTGCTGAAGCTCCCTTTGGGACCAAAAAAGGGGAAACCAAAAGGTCAGATCCGGTCGGTTTGCTTTGGGCAAGTGGGAAAGCGATTTGGCTTTTTGTGGGGTCTCTGCCCAGATAGGCGACAAGGGGTAGTTTGGGGCAGCTTTCAGGGAGGGTTCCGGAGGGTTCCAGTGCTGTTGCGGATCCCACCTGGCTTATGTGTTGGTTTAGTTGCTTGTTTTCTTGTTGGTGGAGAAAGGGGATCCCTAAAAAACCGAACAGAAGCATAGGTGTTGTTTGCAGGGAAAATTGGGATCCGAAAAAAGGGGGGTTAACGCAGGAGATGTGTGTGTGGTGGCTGTTCTTTTCTTAGAGGTGTCTATTTTGTGTTGGAGGAACTCTCTGACAGAAAGGGGCTTAACCAACACGGAAAGGGCATTCTGTGTTGGAAAAAACTGAGGAAACCTTTGGGGGGGGGGGGGGGCGCAAAGGGAATTTTGTGTGGCGTATGCTTTTGTCGGGGTGGGAAAGTAGCAACGGGAAACAAAAATATATTTGACTGACAAAGGGAATGTTGTTGCAGAACAGGCGTTTTTTGGCGAGAAACTGGAAACCTGAACAAAAGGAGAGAATACACACGGAATGCGGCTTGTGCTCAGCTTTTCATGTAGTGGATTCCAGCCGGCTCGCGTAGGGGTTCCGGGAGG